TCCTCCTCGAGTAAGAAGTTGGAAAGCGCTGGTACACAGGGACGACAACTATTCGATCAATGAACGCTGTCTGCATGGGGTCTTTAACACCCACGGAAATCAATGGCAACATCTTTCGACCTCAGCCTGTGTCAAATTATGCCTGCAGCAGTAATGGAGGCATAAATACAAGGAGCAATAAATGAGCAAACTATTAATTATGAACCAGCACAAAACCTTTCTCATGTATTCTTTGTGAAATTAGCAGCGAATGCAGTTAGCTGGGTGCCTAACCAAGCACAAGATGGTACATGCACGGTGATTTCTCACTGCAAAAGCTGCTTGCTTTCATGAGGACGTGCAGGAGCGTGTTGCCACCCACTTCACATACATTACTTGAAACTACTGCCCTAAATGACTGCATGTGAATTTTGATTCAAAACAAAAACTCAGTAACATCTCAAACGCTACCTAGATTATGAAGAAGAAGTTGTATATAAAGTCAGTCAGTAACTTCTACCCTGCATTTTACCTTTATCGCTGTTATTATCAGACCTTCCTCACTTTTAGCCCTGGCCAAAATTAAGTTTATGACTTTTGATTTATGTGGCAAGAAGAGATGAACTGGTGCTGTACAGCCTAGCAGCGTGACATGTGGTCATGTCATCATGCTGGTGACAGCCAGCAACCATCAGAAGGGCAGGAACACCAAGAAAGAAAATAAATCATTTGAAGTGGTATAAAAGTGACATAAAAATAAATTGCAAAGGGAAATTTTACACCAAAGAATGTATTTCTTGAGAATGGAGTCCATGGTATTTGACTGTGGCAGTCTCCTAAAGGAAACGGTGCCCTGTTTTGAGGAGCTGCAGAATCAGAAAGAGCATGCAGAGCACGGAGATGATGCTGGGATGGTGCATGGCCAGGAAAACGGACAGACCGATCTACCTGATCTCCACCTCTGAAACAGAGTTCTCACTAGAAAGCACTTCTATCATGAAGAATAAGAAAGAAGCAGTTTGCAAAGACGCAAACAGATTTCAGCTTAAATGTCTCTGCAAATTAAAATACACTTTGTAGGAAAAAAACCAGTCAAATGTAGTGTTTATTCTAAGCACTTTACTGCCTCAGACTCATTAACCTGGTACCTTACATGCGCTCTTTGTAATGCAAATTTGCTAAAATACCATGCTTTCCATAAAACATTCATATAGACAAGCTCACACTGCTCAAATACCAATTGTAAGTGGAGCAAAAATGCACTAAATTTTTCGTAATACCTGGGCTCTGCACCTAAGTCTTATCTGCATAAGCAATTTGTGAGAAACCTTCTGCTGTTGCTGCAGCCACCAAAGCACAAAGGTGGAAGATTTCCCAAAGCAGCTGATATAGCAATTATAAACTGAATTACCACATGCAAAAGCCAAATGAAAAGACTTTGTAGAAAGTACCTACAGCAGGGGTTTTTTTGAGGAAGAGAGATCACTACAGAGAGGAGAGGAGATACCCTGCATTTAAGGAGGCCAAACATTGCACATACTGCACCTGCTTGCTGAGCCCTATTTCATAGCCACCTGCCCAACCAAGCACTCTATCACCGTGAGGGTTTGCTGGGAATCCTTGCCACATAGCACCAGGCATGCCATTTCCAACGACTGCACTGACTGGACATGGTACATCCCTCCGACAACATGGGGAGCCCAGCAGGAGATACAAAATCATCCTAAGGTCTCCAGCCCACCCTGACCCAGATGGTCCACACAGTGGAAGATGACTCAGGGTTGGAGGGAGCTGAGGGGAGGGAAAGGTTCCTGGTTTATAACTTACACAGCTGTGGAGAAAGACCAAAATGTCACCTTAAGGGTGCAATGTTATGATGACCAATGTCCCTTCTTCAATGGACTTAGGTGTTGGAACATGAAATACCATAGCAAACCTATGGCCAGCTGAGATTCACAATATAAATTACACTAAATTCAAATACACAGGGTAAATGCAGGAAATTTTATGATCTTTTCCTCCCCCCTCCACAGGTACCAACTACTTTTGTTTCAAGATGATCTATAATTGTTCCATCTCAAATTAAACTCTGAGCAACTGCTCTCATCCTATATTTAGTTTTGAAAACTGCCGCTTCTTTTTCAGACTTGAAGAAGGGCCCAGAAACCTGAAAACTGTCTAATTTTAACAATTGTACCAGTTGGCCTGATAGAAGAAGATACTACCTCCAGGCACAAACATTTCCCAGATTTCATAGAGTCAAAGAACCATAGAATCATTTAGGTTGGAAAAGACCTTTAAGATCATCAAGTCCAACCATTAACCTAGCACTGCTATTCCACCACTAAACCTTGTCCCACCACATCTATACTTCTTTTAAATACTTAAAGCCTTCCTCCCCTCAAGCAGATCGACACTCCTGCCCAACTTGGTGTCATCTACAAACTTACAGAGGGAGCACTCGATCCCCTCATCCAGATCATTGATAAAGATATTAAATAGAACTGGCCCCAGTACTGAGCCCTGGGGAACACCACTTGTGACTGGCTGCCAGCTGGATTTAACATCATTCACCATCACTCTTTGGGCCCAGACATCCAGCCAGTTTTTTACCCAGCGAAGCATATGCCCACCCAAGCCGTGAGCAGCCAGTTTCTTCATGAGAATGCTGTGGAAAACAGTGTCAAGGGCTTTACTAAAGTCCAGGTAGACAACATCCACAGCCTTTCCCTCATCCACGAAGTGGGTCACCTTGTCACAGAAGGAGATCAGGTTGGTCAAGCAGGACTTGCCTTTCATAAACCCATGCTGACTGGGCCTGATCACCTGGTTGTGTGATGGCACTCAAGATGATCTGCTCCATAACATTTCCTGGCACCAAGGTCAGAGCTACGAGGCAGAACTTAAGACATCATTGCCTGAAGGTGACAGAAACATCCACACTGTTTTTCCTTGGGGTTCAGAGCTAAGATGCACAGGTGACCAACAGGAGGCAACTTAGCAAGTTTTCTTTATTCTGCATAATAACATGCCAACTGCAGGCCGGGTGTACCTCCCAGCCCATCTGCCAGACCTGGTTCCAGATCACCCAAAACATATCAGGGCTCCTGAATCCAGATGATTTCCCAAAGGAAACCAGGTTCTCAGGGGGACGATGCACATGATGCACCCACACCACACAGGTACCACATGGCAAGGGCTCGGAGGCTGGGAACTGCACCCCAGCACGACTACCCTGCAGTACAGACACAGACAAAGTTAATCTGACTTAACATGAAACTTTTAAATGATGAAAATAAATTAGCAGAGTCACTACAAAAAAAAAAAAAAAAAGAAAAGAAAAAAGTTTGCTGCAGGATCTACCCAGAAAACACAACCAAAACAGTAATTCAGCATATGAGCTTCACAGCACATTAAGAAAATAAGTACCTGTTCAAACACCTGCAATGATTTCTCAGATGCAGTAAAGGAGAATGAGAATTAAAAGAGAATGAACATACTGAAACCTATTTGGTTTTGAAATTCAGTTCATTTGGCAGGTCCTCCACTTCTGAAAGAAAACAAACAGCAAATGCAGACAAGCCATAGCATGAGCAGCCATGCGCTCTCCTGCCCACCTGCCTGAAGCCCGACTCAGAGCAACGTACCTGGCTATACCAGCTTAGTTTCATCTTTAAACTCAGTCCTCAGCCTGTCCATTAAAACGGTCAATAGCAATGCCAGCTGAGAAATGTCCATCACTGGGAGAACATTTTTACAGGTCATTGGCTAGCCAGACAACAACAGCTTCTAGCCATTACTGACCTCTCTTCGACATGAACTGCTGATTTCCAGGAGAAAGATGAGCCATGAGCCATCCATTTTCTTAATCATAATTAAAACAAAACCAAAACCACTCAACTGTTTCTATATGATTTCATTTGTACAAAATATAAACATGCAAACATCCTGCTATGTTTCTGGGATGTGAACGCTACCATAATAAGAATCTGAATGCATTCAGTTCCTCTACTGAGGCAGGGAGTACCTGATTATAAGTAGGTGCTGTTGAATAGAAATTTGCATCAGAACAGTTTGGATAACAAAATGTCAGTTTGGATTACAAAATGATTTGCTGCATCAGCCCCCAAGTAAGCTGACAAAACAGACTCGGACAGGTGTGTCTTACGATGGAAAAATTAACTTTGATAAAGAAAAGAATAAAATGCCCTTCAGATACGTTCTGTTGTCGGAGTCATTAGGATGCAAAAGGAATTTTTAAAAAGGCCATCTCCATAAAGCTCAAGCACACATAAGAGAAAGCGAGCAAACCTGCCTGGACGACTGGCTGTTTGCATTACTGTCTGCCTTAGTGGCTCTGGCAAATTGGCCTCCTTGGTTGATCAGTCCCGCTCCCACTGCACTATACAGAGCTATAGGATACAGACAGAGCTGTGTGTTTTAAGAAAAACTGAGCAAAACTACCAAAACACACACCGAAGTCCGTATCAAAGAAAAAAGCACACAACCAGTTATTTCCTCTTACAAACATATTAAATATTTGTCATTTGCAAAGATTCTTAATCAGAGAGACAGACTGCATCATGTTTGACTCCAGTAAAATGTCTCCTGAGAAAGTCTGCCTTGATCTAAAATTCTCATACTTGGGTTTTAATTCCCAGTCATATTTACAGGAATTTGCTTCCTCCAATTTCCTAATTGAGACTGCATGGCTTGAAATATGCCCATCAGCTATCATATGACTGAAAACCTACTTGACTAAGAGATACACATTCTCAGGCTTCAGAAAATAATTAGGCACTCCAGATTTTCCTGCAGCTTCCTGAGGAGCAGATGCCAACGACCAACATCAACAACCAAGACCACTGGTCTCATCCAGCCTCAGAGCTCCTGTACCTCGATGTTACAGTGATTCACGGAATTGCTATCACAGTAACCATCAAGATACATGGAAATTACACAGCAAACGCACAACTGGCTGCATGTGTCCAGCTTCTAGTCTGAATTGATCTCCTACTCACCAGGCTCTTGGTCCTTAGTGGATATGCACTCTTTTATGGACTCTGTTATGCCAAGACTAGCTGCAGTGGGGAGCGGGCCGAGCAAGGATTCCAGTGCAGGTGGTCCTACAAGAGCTTCATTTCCATTTTTACACTCCCCATTTTCATTTTTTTTTACACTATCCTTCTCTTGAAGTTCATTATAAAAGTCCTTGTTTAAGTGATTAGCTGCTGCTTCCAGCTCCTCATCTTCTGCCTCCTCCTCTCCATGTATGCTAGAAGTATTATCTTCTATAGAATCTGTAAGGGAAAAAAATCCCCAACAGATCATTGCATACCATCTGTTATAGAAACTAAATAAATAGAGAGGCACTCACTTAAATAATAAAAATCTTTAGAGAATATCTGTAGAAGAAATACACAATGTATGAATATATGGAGTTTCCAGATGCTCTTCAAATTCATTACCTTGGCTATTAAAATGTATTTTTGTGAATACAGTCATCATTTAAAATAGAAGTATTGTGTTATTAAATTATGGCAGGTAAAAGGGCTTTGCGAGAGAAGCCGGCTACTTCCTGGTATAATTACAAATGAAAAATACCCCATTCAGCCTGCACAAAGCCCTTCCATATTGCTTAGTCAACTGGGGGATTCGGTGACAGAAGGGTCTAGATATTGGTCCACTGCACTTCAGATGAAAAGGAACATTCTCAGGTGCCAGTGCCAAGCTTATACTGCACCAGGAAAGAAAACCAACTGAAATCATTAATGAACTGTCACTGTAATGAACAATGTAGTTGTGTTGAAGACTGATACTTAAACCAAGTAATTGGCAGAGAGAACCCCAAATGCAGTAGAGATCTTGTACTATGCAGGCATGTATTTGATCATATTTATCACAAACAAATCATGCACTTAAGACTGCCTGCAGGATCTGAATCCATTATTATTTAAGTAGTCACAACTCTTTATAGACTTACCATCTTTAGTGAAATTTGCAAATACGCCTTTTGCTTTTGGTCTACTGTTTTCTAATTCAATCTCTATTTCATCTTGATAGCTCGATATTTCACCTGTGGTGTTGAAACAAAAATAAAACTCGGCAATCACTGATGTAATTTGGAACAAATGAGTGATATGTTACACTAAACACAACTCATACCTTCAAAATCCTCCAGCTTTTTTGATAACGCCTTCTCAAGCTGAAATGAAAATAAACAAACGTGAAATTACTAAAAAAACCCAACTTTGTACTGTTTGTGAACTGTATATAGAGATGCAGAATCACAGGGTGCTTTAAGAGCCATAAGCAGGTTTTGAAGCCCAACTCAAATTACTTTATAGCATCAGACAGATAAGACAGACAACTTTCAAAATACTGACTGATTTCAACCATTCTGTCACCCATTGCTACACCTCAAAAGGAGCCTTCGCTCTGGCATGCTGCAAATAAAAGGCCCCATTCTCCAGCAGTCAAGTCTCTATGACCGTGCCTGTAGATGTGAGCAGCACAGGGATGGGGGTGAAATTGCGCTGCCCAGGCCAGACACAGCACATGGGCGACAGAGCAGTGAAGTACTGACCTACAGCACCGGGCGGGCTCTTGAAAACATCACAAATACACCTGCAGACCTTTAAATGATAGCATGTTTAGAATGGTAAAACGAAAAAACCCTGAAAAACTAAAAATGTAAGATTTGGCTATCATGGTAGTAAAACCTTCTCCTCTGGTGCCAGCTTTAGTTCATGATTTGTAAAGAAATTAAGCCACATGAGAACTAACCTCGGTGGACGCAGGTGCTGTACAACACAAAAACCCAGCAGTCTCATTAAAGCAACTGGGTTTTTGGTTTTGTATGTGTTTTAAAAAATTTTTTTATGTAATGGTACTTCTCCTGAAGTACCTGCACAATTTCTGATCCAGTTACAAAGCTTACACTTTTGCAACCCTGCTCCTTGCTAGCCAGGGTGGAAGAGTGCATACAGCCCATGAAAGAGAAGTGCCGACATTAGGACAGACACTCAAAGCCTCCATGCCACGAGCTCAGCTTAACTTGTGACATGAGAGCCTTCAGTTTTGTAAGGACAAAACGATTTGACGTCGGGGCACAAGAAGGGAAAGACAGGTGCAGCAGAAAAGCGAGCATAAAGGAGATAGCGGTGCTTAGCATAACTGCATCTGCTTGCAAATGGGGGAGCATCTGGGCAGGGTGTGCTGAGCCCTCATCTACAATGCAGCAGTCATGGGCTAAGCACCAAACATTGGCATCCTGCAGAACCTGGAAGCTCAGCTGGCGCTCGTTTACTCGAGCACCCAGACGTCCCGATCGGCGCTGACAAGAGCAGGGACTCTCTACTTCCCGCAGCGGCTGGCTAAGACCATAGACAGACTTCGATCCCTCATCAGGGGATGCCTAAAGCTACATTTGAAGCTACATATCTGAAAGAGCATGTCTCTCTGGAGGAGGGAGCAAAAATTATATAGGAGAAAAACGTCTTTTTTTTTTTTTCTTGAACTGGGAAGCTATCCTTTTGCCAGTAGAACAAAAAAAAATACCCTTTAGTTAATGGGTATCCTATGCATTAATGCTCACCCTTCTCTTAGAACCTCAGCATGAATGTAACTAACCCTTATCAAAGGCTGGTCAGTTAGGATTTAATATTAAGTGATTCAAAAAGGAATATACAGAGGGAGGAGAGAGGACAGAAATTCAGAGAGCATCCGATTCAGAATTCACCTGCTGTATCTTCAATTTTTTTTGACCAGCTGTAAACGAAGGAGGATCACATTCTTCTTCTAAGTCAATCTTCATAAACTCATCTATGGTCAGCTGACTTGTCGGTGTATCTTCAAACTCTGTCAACCTACCAAAGCAGACAGTACATTACCATAACAACTTTAAGAACTTCTTTAAAAGTAGCAAAATTTGTCAAACTGCTAAGTTACAGAATAAACATGTCATCTTCAGAAACTGGCTCAAACGCAGAATACATTAAAACTGAAGTGATACTAATTGTTTCATCTGCTGCAAAGAAAGTATCTTTTTGTATCACAAATTAGCTTTTGATTTATTAGAGCATGTAACACACACTTTTTTTTATGAACAAAGGCTGCACAGAAATACCACAGCCACTATGGTCAATGAAATACAGACTGGCAAAACTCAGACAAGAAATGCAGCTCTTTCCTCCTGTCTCGATGCTTTTCTTATCAACCACATCAACAAAACAGATTCCCAAACTAAAATATCTGCCCTTGTAGTTTAGCAGTACGGTCAAAAATATTCCTGATATGTTAGCATGATTAATCTATGCAAAGGCAATTTTAAAGTAACTTATCTTCAGCAGACTGGAAGAGGGACAAGCGATCTTCCCAAGAGACACAGAAGCAGTAGTAAAATAAAGGGATCGACTGCACATTCCACAGATGGAATAGATGAATGCATGTAATTTTACAACAATGTACTTTGTATTTGTTTAATGTTTGCATTTTTAAGGTTCCTACCTATGTGAGAGATGGGACTAGCTCCATGGAGAACTGCCATGAAAGCAGCTGCATCCTTCAGAGGAACTGAATCTTAAATGAGACCACAGTCATAACCTCATCCACAAATTTCAGCATTTTATACAGGTGGTTGAGAATGAGCACATCCATTTTACAGATGGAGAAAGCGAGGCAAAAGGTTAAGTACAAAGCCAGGTCAGGAAATGTCTGGCAGAATGCTTTTGTGACAGAAAGTGCCCTTTTAATAATATCAACATTTTCCATGGGAAAATGGCAATGATGGGTCTGCAGCTGCTTCACTGGAATATTCCCATCTTCCAGAGGAAGCAAAGCTGACAACAGCTTCCATCTGCAAAGCTAGGAAACTAAAAATGGTGATTCAGTACTCCCAGCACAGGACCCTTCACCACTTCTCCCCCCAAAATGCAGCCGTAGTTTTCTCTTTTACCTCTAATTGCAACAAAACTGCTTCTGAAGAAGGAATATTGTCTAGGACAGAAATCCAGTTTCCAACCAACTCCAGGGTCAAAGCCAAAAGCACAGGGCCACGCTCTCTCCCAATATCCTTATCGGTACCTGTATTTCTTTTATTATAAACCGAGAAGCAAGACAAGGCAGCCCATACAAAGGCACCCTGCTCCCGGAGGCCAGCCCGCAGGCCACGCGCGGCATCTCGTGCCGTGAAAGGCGCAGGGAGAGCCGGGCGGCTCTGCGTAAAGCCAACAGCAAGCAGCACGCCGAGCCCACGCATGGCTGTGCCGGCCAGAATTAGTGCTGCTGAGGAGAAGAAAACCTAGTCTCACTTTTGGAGTTCAGGCATCTCTATGAAGTCCCAAATTAGCCAGCTGAGAGTGCCTGACAGCCCAAAACTTTCCCTCAGAGTACCAGGGACCAGCTCCCTCCTCCTCCTCTCTTTCAGATCGAACTGGAAAGGAGAGGAGGATGCTGTTGGCAGCAGCAGCACCCAGCTTTTGATTAAAGGACTAGAAATCTTTCTCAGCGTTAACAGGCTTCCATTGTGCATTACCCACCTTCCAGGAGGGAGCCTCATCTATCAGGCTAGAGGAAAACCCTGGCTAGGCATTGTTATTATTATTTTAATTCAGGATTCATTTAATGGCAAATCCATGCATCACTTCAGGAGCACGGATCTTCCCAGCCACCATCATTAAATTACAGTCATCCATCTCTCCCCATATGAATCATGCACTCACAGGTAATTCCACTTCAGCAAGACTTTTCCTCCCAACCAGCCTCACCTAGTTAAAATCTTACTCTCCTCCCACTGTAAAAAGCCAACACGCACTTTGGCAAGGACACCCAGTTTGTTTACCCCACACTTGCTCCAAGTTTGAGATGAGCAGCCAGACCCAGAGCCCAGCCAAAACAGCAACACCTCCAGGCATGCAGAGCAACGTAGAAAACACCAGTAGCAAAACCAGTTGCTCATGAAGCAAGGTTGGGGACAAGGTGACCATGCTTGGGTTTCAGCACTTAACCCGGTGCATGTCCCCTGGCAGACACCTGAGGCTCCATCTGTCCCTCTCCTTGTCCACCGTGTCGTGTGACTCACGTCACGTACCCCGCACCCATCAGACGTTAGCCCACGGGCGAGCCAACGTGCCAGCAGCTGGCACGAGCTTCGGCTCAAGCACCAGCTTCAGCCCCAAGCTGGAACGGCAGCACAGGTCTCTCCCAGGACCTCCAGAGCATCTGCACTGGGACAGGGCAGAGCTACGGCCTGTTTGCTGATGGTGCTGACAAGGAGCTCGAATCCACAGCACAGCATGGTTCGACCATCTGACCCGGCCACCAGCGCCCACTCCCATGCCCTTGCTCTCCTCTTCCTCAGTCTGATCCAACCCAAACAGGGTGAGGGCTGACCACCCAGCGGCAAGGGTTGTCAGTGCGACGGTGGCAAGCGGCACATTATTTCTTCACCTCTCGCCGTTCTTAACCACAAGGCCCTAGCCTTCCTCCTGAAATGGAGAACCATCCCTGATGGTCAGGATCACAGCTCAAGCATCATCTCTGTGGGAGAGAGAGCTGTTCACTCAACATTTTCTCCTTTAACTTGATATAAAGAAATACCTGCATTTGCCAACCACTTGCCTGCCTCAACATTTTACATTGGCTGATATCCTGTCTACATATTTTTAAACATTTCTTTAATTTTATCCAGTGTTTGGACACATGCCACCAAGGCAACAAACTGATGCACGCAGCCGTCTACACAGCATGAAACAAGGTAACATCAGTTTGGCATCTAAGAAAAACTGACGCAACCTTAATTATAAGCACAATAATTTCAGGGGCGAGGGAGTGCCCTCATGAAAAAAAAAAAAAATAGCCACGGGCTATTTTTTAAGTTCCACATAAAAATGATATCCAAGTTGATTTTGCACTTTTGTTAATTAAAAAATCTAATAAGATTTGCCATTTCAAGTTATGCACAGAAGGAGGAAAATAAACAGATATACAAATTAAGATATTATTTCCTTGGCAAGGATTCAAAAGGGCTCTAAAAATTGAAATTTGGCAGACAAGTATTTTCTATTTATAGTCAAAGCAGAGGCAACCACTACAGCTCAGGCTAAGATTCAACTTCCAGTATAAACCCTCCTCTTACAGTTTCTCACAGCAAACTCTCTTAAACAAATTCCTTTGGGAGAAAAGTTTTTCCAGAGCTTGGTGTCATCTGCCCGTAACCCCAACCCTTTTTTTCAAAGAAACATTTCCACGGCTTTTGTTCCATCCGTTTATGGACAAAACCACACCTCATCTTCTGATAAAGAACTTTTGTGCACAAAACACTAAAACTGTTCTGTTCACACTTAATTTAGCTCCCAATAAGGGAAAATGGGTCAGTCGTTTTGAAGTTGCAAGCAATGTTTTTTACACTTTGTTTTGTTTCGGGGACACCGTCCAGCGAAGACTTATGAATCCAGTCTACAGCTAAGTTAAAAAAAAGACTCCTGTGTGCAGCTGGCTGCTCGGCTTTAATGTTTAATTGAAATTCTGTGGTGGTGAGGTGTGACAAAGCACGTAAAAGAACAAGGTCTTCTGGAGTCCAGCTCACAAATGCTTCAGGAGTCCAAGTTCAAAGCCCAAGAGGGACTTCTAAGCAGAGACCATTTAGGAAGAGCCATGGTGTCCTCCTACGTATACACACTCCGCACCTAGCTCTAGAAAGCAGGCAGCATAAAGTAGAGGTTTCTTGTGCTGGACCTCTATACAGAAAGGCAAACAAATTATAACTTCAGAGACAATTGGGTTTTTTAAAGAGTGAATGTGAAACTTAGCCTGACCAGCCAGCCTTTAGGTTACCTGTTGTGTGAGGTCTTTTTAGAGCACTTAAAATATTTTATTAATGAATTAAAAAAAATACTAAGCTGAATATAGGCATATGCTTAGCAGAAATACATGAAAAAAACTTTATTGCAAGATAAGCTGGTGGTGGTAATTCCCCTGACTTTTCCCAAATTAACAATATAATTAAAACTCTGAGTAATAACTTACATGACATCTACATAATCTTAACTGTCATATCAATTACAGATATTCTGGTAATAGAGCAGCTGATTTGACAACTCCAACATTTGCAGACTCTGGCAAAGCAAGGGATTTACCTTTGTATCTTAGTGGAGCACCGCAATACTGCACTACATCCCTGCTGTTTTAACTTAACATTCACCGGTGCTGCCTACCACTCTAAGCCTGTGCACTCACTCATAGGAGAGAAGTTCAGAATTTGCACCGATGTGGCAAACCAGCACTATTTTTATACTACAAATTTAACAGTCTATTGCATCATTCTTCTCTCATTTTCTTCCAAGCCATACAATGTTTATGCATGAACTACTTATGGAAGTATGCAAACACATACCCTGAAAGTGATACTTAATAGAGAACATGGATCAGAAATAGTTATTAAATGCGTCCTACATGATATAAAAAAAAGTTTTCCAGTATCCACCAGTACATAAATAAGGAGAAGCGTAATCTCCTTATATGTAATCATTGTACATATATATAATTTTACATGTACTTGCAGCAATATAAAAAAGGCATTTTTAAAGCCTGCATGAATGAATATCTCATTACTAAAGGTAAGGACAAAATTAGAGGCGATCCAGTTACCGCAGCTTTACAACTTACAACTTATCACCTGAGCTGTGCTAAATTAGCCTGCCTGTGTTCCCAGCCCAGTGCAACTGTAAAGAGAAATATTTTCACTTAAACAACTTCCACGGTGTACTGCATTAACACATTTCACCTCTTTTTGAGATGGACTGAGAGCATTCACAGTCATTTACTGCAAATTAACTGGTGACTGGTAACTTACGGTGCTCATTTGCTGGCAACTCTCTGTCATTTTTATAAGTATTAAAGAATGGGTACCTTGAAAGATTTATTGTACTAAATAAAAGCACCCTTTAGAATGAGTTGCTTTTACTTGCTCACACCAAAGCAGAGATTTAAAGCTATCACAAATTCATTAGCATAGATTTTAAAGCCCTGATTCTGCAGTTAATTCAGGTTAACTTGTACACAGGGATAGCCCACTGATAATCCATCAGCAGATCTCCCTGGCCATCCCAAAAGTCCACCACTCTAAACCACCCAGAATTTTTTGTTCTTGCTCCCCGCTAATGGACCAAAATGCTTTAGCATTCCGTAAACTTTTGTTTCATTAGCACAGTTCCTCCACTGAGGTCTGTCAAAACCACTCTATGATCTCCTAGAAAAGAAAAATAGTGCCCTGCTTCATTTCTTAACAGCCGCTCAGATAAGGAAAAGTCAGAGAGAAAACTGTTTACAAGGTCTGAGCCCGAGTTAGTGCTAATAAGTTAATTATTGTAGCAAAAGTAACAGACACCAAATAATTTTGAAATTACATTTTTTAAGTAAGTATGAAGTACTTAAATATATTAGGAATCTAATGTATGTATTAGCTTACTAGCTGTGTAGAAGCTGGGTTTATAAAAAGGAACATCACCTGTGAAATTGGATTCCTCAAAAATAAAACGTTTTTTCATTAAAACAGGCAATCCAACTTAGAAAGGTACGCAATACCAACCCGCGTGGATCAAGCTGTATTTACTCGCCATGCTAGAAAGATTTCTAGAAATCATCTATAGGCCATTTGAAAGTATTTAACTGGCGACATAAAATATTTCTCAATTTACTTTCTCAGCTTATCACAACAGTGGCCAGCGGAGGAGCTCAGGGCCGCTGACCTGAGATCAGAGTGGACACCACCACGAAGTAACTTGCCCAGTTTTCTGAAACCTCCTCCCCGTACCACACTTCCACCAAGAGCACTTACACAACCCTGACGTACTGAGCATCCTCTACCTTTCTCCGTACTCAAATACCTTAGGTAAGCAGCTCTTACTTTAATTCATCAGATACCTTTCACAGGATTTTAGCACGGCTTTACTTGGAACACAGCCAAACACAGACTTCACACCTCTCCCTTCAGTCCTGGCCTTGACTTGGCTTTGGTGTTTTAGAAAACCTACAGCCCCAAGCGTCCCTGTTACCCTGACTCTGGACTCAGGTATCGACTGCTCCTCACCTTGCCTGCGCTCGCAAGGAGCCTACCCGGCTTGAGACTGCACTGGGAGCCTGGACATGAAGTTTATGTGAGCTATATATTGCAGAAATGAAAATAAGAAAAGCTGCAGGCAATACATTTATCTCTGTGCATGAATCTTTAATTTTTCCAGAAAATTACCAACGCAGTCATTGAAGGAGCTGTAGCTGGGTCCCCAGGATATGAGCAAATGAAAGTCCCTGAGGCACCTCCACCCAGCCTGGTAAATGGAGTTCCTTCATAACAAGTCTTGTCTTCCTTCCCCAAAAATGCTGTGAGAAAAAACATTCACCTCAAAAATGGGTGCTTTAAATGCGTTCTGGCCTTTCACTCCAATTCCTTCTAAATGAAGCTTTACTTCTTCTGAAGTTCCTCACAAATAGGTTTTTTAACAGATAGTACTTTATGGAACTGAGAAGAAATATTTTATTATGTAAAAGGCAGCTCAATTTAAAGATAAAGAGAGTAAGCCAAAGAAGTAAAATGCAAGTGTTAACAAAGATAAGCTGATTTTTTTTTTTATTTCTATTGAAGAAGTGCCTAAGATCTTCAAACAGGCGTAAGGGCCGCACAGTATTAGATAATGCACAATGGACAAATATCACAAAAATTATTCTCACTGCAGATAAGAGAATTTAGTATGCAGAGAAAATACGCAATAGGTGAATAAACAGATGAAGGGGCAGAGTATGTAAAGGTTAAAAAGGCAGCAGCAAAGACAGGTGCATTGAACACAAGCACAAATGTGAGGATTAAACTAAATAAAAGGGTTGGGTTTATTAAAAGTTAATTTCTGCTATCTCCACAGATGATTACGCAGAAAATAATAATTTGACTAATTAGTTAATATTTGTACAGTACTTTGAATATATAAAGTGATATATAAGTTAATATCATTTCAATTAGACTGGAAATGAGATAGAATTATCAGTGCATTTATTAATATTTAATATGTTCGCTTTCAACAACAGTAACAAGCTCTACATTTTAATTGTGTGCTTCAAAATTGTGTGCTAGAAGGCCCAGTGAAGTAACTACAGAGTTTTCTTACCAAGATCCTACCAAAACCCCATGCATACTAAAAATAAACACCCATGAGTTTTAGCCAGATGGTCAAATTAAGAACCCCTGCTTTGAAGATGAGTGACAGGGTTCATGAGCCAGGCTTTTGTCACTTTTTCCTTCCAACAGAGATTCCCTTTATGATCAGGTCATTCATTTTTATGACCTGAAGGAACGTCACATTTTTGTGAACCTCCTCCTAAGAGCTACTCCTCTTGTGCATGTGGTGGAAGAGGTGATAGCCTACAGGCATGTAGGGCTTGGTGTTCTCCAGCTGATGGGCAACGGGGTGAGCTAATCCCCTTTTACACACTCACATCAGCTGCACAGGACCAGAGATAGTGCCCATCTTGGGGAAGGGCTGCCGCCCCTTCCTGAGGGTCTTCCTGAAACAGGAAAGCATCGCTCCCGCACCCTCAGCCAAGCCGCTGATCAAGACAGCCCTGGCCCCCCCAGGCTGCCGGGCTGCCTCCGCAGGGCAAGAGGAGAAGGCGTCTTGTGTCAGTGCAACCCTTCCCTTGCAGACTTCTGCAACGGAAATCCATCGTCACCAAAAGCAAATCCAGCTTCTGATGGTCTGTGCTCCCCCAGGAGCCGTGTAGCCAACTGGGGGCTAAATCAAACCATACAGCAGAACCTGCAGGTTGGGCGTTTCAGCACAATCTGCACTCCCGTTTGGTTTCACTTCAAGAGCTGTCAGGGCAAAGCCATCAGCAGCGAGCGTAGCGTCCAGCGCCGCCCATTAATGAGCGTTCACCCAACCACGCTCAACACCTTCACGACACACAAAGTAGCAGTAGCTCTTTACAAACCAGAGTACTACAGCAGTAATTAAAAGGAAATGAAACTGTACATCAAACTGAGAAGCAAAGAAATTTTTAAGAACATGAAAACAAGTGCTTATTAATTTAGACAACTTCTACCTGATGGCATTTTGAGAGGAATTCTCAAAAGAGAAAAAAAAGTGGAGTGCAGAGAGAGTTATTCAGAAGTATTTTTTTTATTTGCCTTCGTTAAATACTATATAATGTGCTCTTATTTGAAAAACATCAATCAAATTTATAGATTCGTGATAAATACAGTTGTAATTATAGCTGCCTGAAAATAATTCAGCTGTCACGTTTACCCTGTCAAAGTAAATAACGCTGTCATTTTAGTTGATGTGTGGGACTTGAGTAAACATTTCAAAGCATGAATTTTGAAGTAAGATTTCTTCGCTTGAAACAATTGCTCAAATTAATTTCCCTTCCAACTCTAATTTATTATGCTTATTTTCTTAGTGAGAAAAAACTCTTTTAACTATTTAACTAAGGCATCTTAAAGTAGATTGTGGGTGCATCGATCATTAGTCATATAAAACGCACATTAAAACACATGACCTGTTGACCAGAGAAAAAAAGTGGCGTTTGTACTGCTCCGTCCTTATCGTTGTAGTACCTTAAAGCACTTGAAACACTTCAAATTAATCCCTATACCACCCATGCATAGTAGGGAAATAGCATCATTCCTGTTCCACAAACAAAGATCTGGGGCAAAAACATATTTTAAAATTAAGAAGTGAATATTATTAACAAGTATTAGACTCAGTTGGATATGCTTAAGCTGGTCTCAGCGAGAAGAAGAGAGAGACACCAGGGGATCTTTCTAAAGACAAATCTTGGTAGAACAAACTTCCAAATTTATTGGTGGTACAAAAGTTTCCAACTGGGGGTAACAGAAAGCATGGTATTTCACAGTTAGGCCATTTTTTACTGAACCTACGGGGAAAGAAAATGTTACAACTTTTCATAACTAAAATGAGGGAAACTGGGTGACTGCTTACTTCATCAAAACATGGAAAATGCTATTAGATCTTAAAAAAAACCCAAACAACATGCCAAAGGTACTTGGGAAATTCCCACTTTCAGGCTCTGGTTCTGCTGGCAATTCGACTTCTGACCCCTTCAGTGAACTTATCATTAGACTCACTGTGCTGTCTCCTATTTATTAGCAATGCAACACTATCAAAAATGAACATTCCAGCAAAATATTTTGAAGAGTTCTGTTCAATAACAACTAAAGGACAAGACTTTTCAGCACTGTATTCTGGATTAATGAAAAAAAAAAAATCCCACAGTACATCCTCAGCTTTGAGAATCAATCATTTCTTCTGAGGACATGACAACACTGTTAACATTTCTGACCCAACGTTTTTTTGCCTTCAACTCTTCACCTGTTACATGGGCACAGTGCTCCTTACCATCTTTGCTATCTTTGCTACGCATTTGAGGCCTTACATAAGAGGCAGGTGCTAGTCCTTAAAAATGACCAGCTAAAACATGTTGTACTTGTTTTATTCTTGGCACTTCTGAAAAGGAAAAGAACCTGGTTTTCTCTGATACACATTCATTTTAGACTACACCACTTTTCAGTATTGTAAACGGAAGATAAAAGCAATAAAACTGCACTGACCTTTTCCTTAATGTAGACTCACAAACCTTGACCACCCTGATGACCTCTTTAACAGTACGTCGGAAATCATGCATTCTTGCTGCCACTAGCAGAGCTAGAGAATAAGCAGAAAAAGTCAATGTCAAAAAGATGAAAATTTCCTGAAGAAAAGCAGAAAACAGTCAGATAACTATACCCTCTCTTTGCCCCTGCCTTCAGCTAAAGAGCTGTAAATGCTTATGCTCAGCCGTGTCCCTGAATACAGGTGATTGAGTTGACTTTGCAAACTTTGCTTCCTACCCAGTAAAATTAAGCTGATTTCAAACTGCACCCTGAAAAATTCTATACTTTAGCCTTTGGGAAACCATGGTCAGCTACTGAAATACAGCGCAAGAACATCTCATTGTTCACCTATTTTCAAAGTTACCATCTTTTTAGCAGCATTTACTGGTCCTGAATAAAAGGATCTCCAGTTAACTCTTCCGGAAGCCAGCAGTGAAACACTGAACCCACTTAAGCTGTTATCCTCACTGCTGTCACCACTATCACTGCCTTCCTAGTGCCCAAGTGCTCTCCTGCAAGACCCTCTATGCTAGATAGCTCGTACGGGCTGTGTTTACATTGGCATGTTGATTCAGTGCAGCAGCCCTGCACGCAGAACAGTTTTAAGCATGAAAAAGTGATTCCTTTCAGAGGAAATTAAACTAGAGCTCCACTTCAGGTATGGGCTTAAAGCGCTCCAGTTCCTCATGGGAACACTGGGGGCTGAACTAAGAACTGGTCCTTCGAATAACATTACGGCACAGACATTTAGGCCAGGGAACCAAACTAAACCCAGTCCACAGCACACCACGTGAACTGCTTATTGCGTGGGTGGATGTAGGGGACTCAGCACCACCTGCTTCAATCTATTGATCCATATCTGGTGAATCAAATTCCTTGCTGGTGTGGATATATCTACGCAGCAAATCAAAGACCAGGCTGGTCTCCCGTAGAACCTACACTCAATTTTTTAGCAATGTGCAATAAGCAAGTACCACTAACAAAGAGGCTAGAAATTTCAAAAAGGTTGCGTAGTCCTGGGTTCCCTAAGGTTTGAGCGCTATTTCTCATTCCAGCATGCACATGTGAGATCTTTCAAATAAAATAAAACACTTATGTGAACCCTATGACTATCTACACTCTTCATTACTCTGCCCTCACGGGCTGGTGCTGACTACCTTTTAACCTAGCCCTCCCAAACCGGTAGGCTTTTTGCAAGCATCATGACAGCAATGGATCTTGGAAAAAGATGAAGAAGGAGAGGAAAATGATTTCACAGAACAGGTCAAAGAGGGCATTTCTTGCATAAGACTCTGTCTTACGACACAAATCAAAGTGCTTGCACTAATGGTGTCATTTTAGCTGACAAAAAAACCCAAAAACTTTTAGCAGCTAGAGCTTGCAGAGAGTGGGGGCGAGAACAGTACCAGAAAGGAGATTAAAAAATCCAGAACACAAGATACAAAGGATCTGAGCAAGTAACATGGGAGCGAGGGCAAGAGTTTCAGGAACTATTTAGATGAAAATCTATACAATCCATAGGTGCCCAACAGCACAAAACCCAGGGAACACAGCATCACTGCGGAAATGAGAAAGTCCTCATCTGTTCCCAAGTCCCAGACTCTCCCATCCAACCTGGCTGCGGGGCAAGCGATACACCCAGCGCCTGACATACCTGCTCCGCAGAGCCCGGAGGGCCGGCGGCCGGTGTGCATCCAGTCCCGCTTCATCCTCTGCAACAGCCTGAGAGCCGTCATGGACACTTCGTGGTTCTTATCCCCAAACTCAAGCATGTGTGCAAAACGAGGAATATATAAACACGGATCTGCAACAGAAAGTAATACAATTATTTCTAATCCTAACCTTTGATTTAGGAAATGTGGTACTTAAGCAGCGGTACTGCGGGGTTGTCGCGGTTGGCTTGCTTCACATCTCAGCAAATAACAAGGACTCTGCTGCCGGGCCAGATCCTCTGATCACTAAGCCTTAGAAGCACCTTTTTATTTAAGCTAAACCAAAATCCTTTCTTGCTACACAGACAAGAGACCTATAAAGCACTGCACAAAGTTTTCCTGACACACTGTTCAGTGTCCAAGGCTGCAGATGCTGACACCGACATGTGAGCAGCATCACTGGTATCGGTGAAATTGCGTACCAAGCTAAGCGTTTGCAAAAGCTTTTGCAGAATGAGGACAGAACTTAGGCCCCAAACTTCTCCTGCAAAGTAACAAGTAAGCTAACTTGCATGTCTCGTCTCACACCTACCTAGAACCAAAGCTTCAAAAAAAATTAATTTGCTTAAAATGCCATGTCCCTAACAAAAGTCTGTTGACACCTTCAAAGTTAAATCCAGCTCCTTGGCAGACGCATAATCCACCAATACAAAATGCCGTTTATTACAGATACTGAGGCATACTCTCCATCAGCATAAATTGCTGGAACCCACTTAATGTCAACAGCGCTATGACAATTTACATCAGCCACGGATCTGCCTCCAGATGTACAAACTTATTTCAAGCGTTGGTGTTATCAGCTTCAAACTAACCAAAATACGTCAGCGCAGATCGTGCTTTGCTTAAGCCAATTTATAATCAAACAATCTTGTAAAAGCTACACTTAACACATGTTTACTCTTATTTGAGGTATCAGTTTCTCATTTCCTGACAGCCTTTTATCACTTGACCGAAAATCCACGATGTACGGTAAATTGTTAACTATTAGTCTCAACGCAATTTCCTTAGCTGATCCCCTGTGTGGGCACTTATGTGATAAAGATGAAAATTCAGCTCAAAACACTGGAACAATCTTACGGATTTACAATTAATCAAAACAATTTCATTTAGCACCAAGTTCTAGCAATGATGCCCTGTTGCTATCCATAATTACCAAGATCACGCCGTAGGTGATTACGCCTGTCAGCCCTGCAGAAGCATTTAAATGAAAGCATTTTTCAAGCAAAATCTTCCAAACAAGGCTGTAGGGAGGTGGGGGTCGGCCTCTTCTCCCTGGTAACGGGTGATGGGATGAGGGGAAATGGTCTGAAGTTGCACCAGGGCAAGTTTAGGTTAGACATTAGGAAAAATTCTTTCAATGAAAGGTTTATCAGACTCTGGAATGGGCTGCCCAGGGAGGTGGTCGAGTCCCCATCCCTGGAGGTATTTAAAGGAAGGCTAGATGAGGTGCTTAGGGACATGGTTTAGTGGTGGGATGTCAGGGTTAGGTTAACAGTTGGGCTTGATGATCTTAAAGGTCTTTTCCAACCTAAACGATTCTATGATTCTATGATCAGTAAGGGCAGTTATTCTGTATTTCCAAGTGTGGTTTTAAAAAACTGTACTCAACAGCAATGACCAATTCTAAAATGCAGCAACAACAACAAAAAACCCCTGGGGTTCAACAGACATTTAAACTTTGCTCTTCGCACCACAGAAACGCGTGCAATGTTGCAAAGTGATGCCTGGTTTGCTTTCCCAGTTCTTCTTATGCCGAGAGGGCCAAACTTCAGCTCCTGCAGCCGCCGGAGCGGAGCAGATCGAGGCAATTCACAGCTTTCTCTTCAGAGCTGAGTTTCGGGAGCATTTACACATCGGAGCTGTTCAGCCATTTCTGCCGGCATTCATGCCCACGGGTCATTTGACAAAACACTGCACATCGTTAATTTAAATTCTGAAACTACCAAACAGCCAGAAAATGAATATGCGGGTCGGTTTTAAGTGAAAAGCCTTAAAGAGGCCATAAATGGCTAGAATGCAATACTACCAATATATAAATTAAATGCAGGGCCAAGGTTAACATAAACATGTGCCGCATGGATTCAAATATTTTAAAAAAAAACCACTTTTTTTTTTTACAAGCTGTAAAACCCAAATGCCTTGAGTCCTTCCACATGTACAAAACAAGCACCAAGGGTGCCCCGCTCCCAGGCAAGCCCCCTTTGCCCTCTGGGAGCCCCCGGGGCCAAAGCCCTTACACATGAGCAAGTTCCAATTCGGGCAAAATCCGTGGGCTTTCCTCAACGCGGGCTGCAGCATCCGTGAAGCAGACAGCAAGAAAAACGCTATTTTATTTTTTAAGAGAAAGAAGCGGCTGTTCTGCTGAAGACTTCTCTTTCTCTCCCCATCCCAGTGGCGACTTGGGACTCAGACTTTTGGAAGCACCAAGACCCTACGGTTATTAACAGGAATATAGAAGAACTCCTAGGAAACTGCTTAATCTTGAGTGGCTTCCCCACCAAAACAGGTACCCGGGGCGGCAGGGCGGCGGAGGGGAGCCGGAGCCGTGCTCCC